TTTGCCATCAAGAACTGGGTGGTATGGATAGTCAGAGTGGGAAACATCTTAAAAGTTTACTGACTCTTTCACCACTGTCAGGTTATGAAGTCAGTCAGACACATGTACTGTGTAAGACCGTAATCTCCAAAAAGCAGGGCTTGGTTTTTCAGTGGTTTATAAGAATAGTCTGAAAATAAGCTCTAATTATTAGAACTTATAGTGTTTAGGGTAAAAAATACCGTAATGTCAGATTTAGGAGTATTTACTTTCAGTCCATTATTGAAAGACTTTTTAAGAATAATTGCTTTTCTTAATTTACTCGATTTTAAAATTAAGGTGAAATATATATAACAGAACTTACCATTGTCATCATTTTTAAAGTAGACAACCCAATGGCCTTAAGAATATTCACATTATTTTGAAGCCATTGCCACTGCCCATCTCCAAAGATGTTTTCATCATCCCAGACTGGAATGCTGTCCCCATGAAATAACAGCTCCCTAGGCCCCTCACCCGCAGCCCCTGCAGCTACCATTCTACTTTCAGTCTCTGAATTTAACTCTTCCAGGTACTTCATAAAAGTGAGCTTACAAGATTTGTCATTATTTGACTGCCTTGTGATTTCATTGAGCAGAATGTCTTCTCGGTTCATCCCTGTTGTAGCACGTGTCCAACAGAAAGTTTTTTCTTCTTGGGTTTTGTTTTGTTTGTTCATTTTGTTTTGTTTTTTTAAGAGAGCATGTGCACATGTGAGGGGTGGGGAGGGGCAAACGGGGAGAATCTTGTGAGGGCCTCAGTCCAGGACCCTGAGATCATGACCTGAGCCGAAACTGAGAGCCGGAACGCTTAACCGACTGCGGCACCCAGGTGCCTGTAAGTTCTTTCTTCTGGAGGCTGGTCAGATTCCGCTGTATGTGTAGACCACATTTCACTTACACATTCCATCTGGCTGTCGACACCTGGGTGGCCTCCACCTTTGGCCTGTTGTGAATAATGCTGCCATGAACATGGGTATAAAATACTGTTGAAGTCCCTGCTTTCAGGTGAATAGTTGCTTTTTAACCTTTCTATACCAGACCCCTTTTACTTAGGAGTGTTGCGTTGATAGTGAACTGCTCTCCGAAACCAATCAGTTACATCTTCGGTTTCTCATCCTCCTGAGTACACGGAGCTGAAGGAAGGGAAGTGTGCAGTGTCACTGATTGCTGTCCGTGGTCATGCTAGAATAGGGGCCAGCCTTTCAGTGACCGGGATACCGGTATTTTGTTGCTGACTTTTGTATCCATTATTCATCTGAGTCATCATAAAGTACTATGTCATTTTTTCTTTTTCTTTTTAATTTTTTTATTTTTAAAAATTTTTTATTTTTTATTTAAAGATTTTTATTTATTTATTTAACAGATAGAGATCACAAGTAGGCAGAGAGAGAGGAAGGGAAGCCGGCTCCCTGCTGAACAGAGAGCCCGATGTGGGGCTTGATCGCAGACCCTGGGACCATGACCCGAGCCGATGGCAGAGGCTTTAACCCACTGAGCCACCCACGCGCCTCTGTGTCATTTTTTCTTAAAATACCTGCCTTATTTGTTTAGCCTATATAGTGCTTCATAATTTTAAAAGTTGGGTTAAAAACCATAGCCACAAATAAAAAATGAAACACTTTTGTCTATGCTTTTACTACAGGAATTTATCCTACATACTTTAGTAGTTATTGAAGGCTTACATTTTGGAGAGTTAGCATATATCAGTGGTTTTCAAATTTTTTGGTCTCAGGGACCCTTCATAGTCCTAAAACTGTAGAAGACCCACAGAGCCTTGGCCGGTGTGCACGCCAGCAGTTGATGTTCACCGCACTGGGGGTAAAACCGAGAAATTTGTAGCAGTTGTTGAGTCATTCAAAAATAATAAGCCCACTAAACCTTTTAAATATGTTTCCTATGGAAAAAAAACACATTTTCTCACTAAAAACATTTACCAAGAAGAGTGGCATTATTTTACATTTTTACAAAATACCTTTATCTGCCTTAGTAAAAGATAGCCGGCCCCTCGGATCTGCTTCCACAGGCCGTGGCAGCACGCTGCTCGTGCTCAAATATATGAAGAAAATCTGCTCACACAGATATGTAGCTGGAAAAGGAAGAGGTATTCTGATAATCTTTTCAGATAATCATGGATTTTTTTATACTATATTAAAACTTAACAAGTGACAGTTTCTTAAAGGTTAGTAGCAATAGGGAGTTTTAAATGTTATTGGTGAGTTTTTTGTACTTGGTTAGATCAAAATCCTTTTGTCTTTCTTGCACCTCAATGGCTCTTTTACTCAAGTGTAACTTGTAGCATTACGGATTGGTCACTTGGAAAATATTGGTTCACCAAGTTATGTGAATCTTCCAGATACACACTATGAGATATGACATGTAATGTAAAAAGTGCGCATTTGTTAATGTTTACCTTCAGTTGCATGCAGAATATCTTTAAATCTCAGGGAGCTGTCAAGCTCTTGGTGATAGACACTGGTTTTCCCAAAGTTCTGGTTTTAACTTGAGCACTCAACTTTTGTAATAGGTAGCAAATCCAGTCAGTTGTTTTCCTTAAAGGAACATGCTCCCTTTGTTCATGTTCGAGAAAATGTCTGCCGAAGACCCAAGCCTGGATTACCCTAATTTGTCATTCATTCTTTCCAGTAAACAGGGAACAAACCTCAGCTCAGCTTGCAATTTGCATGACCGCACAGGTGCTTCTCCCGGGTCACCCTTGTGCTTCACGAGTGAGCAGGGATGCGTCCTGTGTGCTGGGTGGTTTGAAATGCAGACTATTAACCAACCATGTGCTAATGGTTGAGACTTAATAAAATTAATAATATGTACTGCATTAAGAATATTCTTTTTTTAAAAAGATTTATTTTTTCTCTCTCTCTAAAAAAAAAAAGATTTATTTATTTATTTTAGAGAGAGAGAAAGCACAAGCGGGAGGGGTAGAGGGAGTGAGAGAGAGAATCTCAAGCAGACTCCCGGTTGCGCACAGAGCCCTGCTCGGGGCTTGATCGCAGGACCCTGAGATCGTGACCTGAGCCAAAATCAAGATTTGGTCACTTAACTGACTTAACCACCCAGGTGCCCCTGCATAAGAATATTGTGAAGTGAAGCTGACATTTTTACAAAACCCCGTGAGTACTGAAACCTTTTGGTACCGGTGCCTTCACTGGCGCCAACGAGCTGAGTCTGACCCACTGTTGCTTTTGCACCATTGATACAACTGTCAGTACAATGAAGAAGGCAAATAATGTCTTAATGTTATTATGAAAATAATTTTGACAATATGGATCCCCTGGGAGGATTTCAGGGGAATTGACAGCTTACCCTGTCATACATAATGTGGATACTTTAATAATCATGGATTCTCCTATTAAATAGTTTAAAACCTGTGTGTATATAGCTGGGTCTTGAGAAGTTGTGTCTGCTTTTCCCATCTGTGGCTGCCCCAAGTCAGAATAGGGACTAAGGCTATATTATACAGTGGTATCAGCATTTTAGAAAGAAGAACGTGGTGTTACTTTGAATTTTATAGCATTTGTTTTTACTCCCCCCACCCCACCCCACCCCACAGGTGCAAGTGCTTCCTTGAGAGAATTCCTGAGAGAATTTAGTGGTTTTGATTTATAGGCTCATACAAAACATATATACCATGACTCATCTGAGTTATAGTTTCTCAGGGAAACTACATGTAGCTGCTGCCTTGCTCCTGCCTGCCTCCTGTGAACTTTGACTTGAATACCTAGTTTATACTGAACTCTATGCCAGGACTGAGAAAGACAGGTTCCCCGCCCCTAGGAGCCTAGAGAAGAGTGTTCGAATGCAGTGATTGAGTGCTATTACGGAAGGTAGTGCGAGGTGCTCTGCGAGGCTTTGCCGGCCAGTTGTTACTGTAGGTGGCTTTTAAAGGAAGTGTGTAGGGGCTTGGCAGGGAGTGGAGACATGAAAGAGAGGAATGACACAGTACTTTCCAGGGCAGGGAATGTCCAGATGCAACAGTGTGACACACGCAGGGCTGGACCCAGAGGCTGTGGCCAGAGAAGAGGAGAAGGGTCTTGCTGGGGTTTGATCCCATAGACTGGAGGTTCTCAAAACCTGGTCCCCAGACTAGTAGCATCAACATCTCCGTGGAACTGGTCAGAAATGCATAGACTTTCAGTAGCAGGTGTTTTTGGTGGAGCGAGACTGTTTAACTGCCCTCTAGGGGACTTCCTGGGCCAGGGGAGAACAGTGTAGGTTCTTCAAGTAGCCTTGACACTTAGAAAGGTCACCCTGAGGGCCCTCTGGAAGGTGGGATAGTGTGGGATAGTGTGGCATTGTCCAGTGTTTTTGTGGATGGGATGCAGGCCTGGACTGATGGCAGGAGGAAGGAAGAGAGAGCGAGGATTTGCTGGAGGTAGATTCTCCAGAACTTTATCACTAGTAGACAGCTTATAAGCTATGAAAACAGCTCTTCTTTGCTCTGACGTGCCAGCACTCAGGGATGGAGGCATTCTTAAAGGCCCTTGCTTCTTGTGTCTTCAGGCAACAGCTCTTACCTATAATGAAAAAGCCAGTCAGGTAACTTGCCTGAGCCTCTTGAGTCTCCTTTTCGAGGTTGCCCACTTAATTAGGATGATGGCCCCCAGAGGGACAGAGTTGGCACATGCAGGACGAGTCTTAGAAAGGATGGCGCGGTCTGGGAGAGTGGAGGGGATGATTTTATTCAGATATGCCCAGCTGCTGGCAGATTGAATAAGTGCTACGTGGCGTTCAGACGCCCTTTGTTGTCCATTGGCTCTGAGCGGGCTAGGTGCACCACTTTCCTATTTGAATTTGAGCAGTCAGTAGCTCTATTTGGTGAGTGTGTATGTGTGTGTGTGTGTGTGTGTGTGTGTCTAAGTGTAAAGATGGGGTCCCCCAGTTTCAGTTACAGCAGTTATTCAGTTAGAACCTTTCTTCATCAGGGTGTTGAAGTTCTCTTTTTTCATATCGTATTTTGTTTTACAGATTCGTGAGGCTCCAGGGCCTTCAAGCTGTGATTACTCAGATGGTTCCTGAAATGACTGGGAAGGCGGACGCTTTGGTGCCCATCGAAGAGCATATGTCTATGTATATCTAAGACTTTCTTTGTACACACACACATTTACACCAGAAGACAGGCTCATTCTTGTGCACACTTGAAGAGTTTTACAACTGATGAAAATTAATTTAAGAATCAGATGGATCAACTTGACACTACTGGGCTCAGGAGCCCGGGGAGAAAAATATGTTACTGATGGTCAGTTTTCCACATGGTCTTCACGGGTAAAGAAAGTTTGCAAAAAGAAGAAAAAAAAACCTTCACGGTTCAAGCCTCAAAAATACCTCTGCAGCTTAAAGAAGGAACTAAGTGAGAAGGTGGCTGGGGGAGAAGTGTGGTGTCCAGTGGCGCAGGCAGAGTCATGCAGTGGGCTTTGCACTTTACTTTCCAGTGTTTTTGGTAATTTGGACCTACTTCAAAACTCTGCACTGAGAAGTAATTCTGGCTGTGTGTGACTTCAGGAAAGCAAGGTCAGGTATGATGGGACAAATCTGAACGATGAACTGGTTCCTTTGCCTTTTTCAGTTAACTGTGTTCTCGAAGTTTTAATTTATTATTTTCCTTTTCCTTTCCCGTATCTATAGGATAATATTTTAAAGTAGCAATTGAAACCAGTATTTACAAAGTAAGTATCAAGGAACATCCAAGCAAAGCTTCTTTTCCTCGGACTGCACCCGTGGCGTTTGCACGCATCTCTGAACGTGAGCCGGAGAGCGCCCGTCAGCGGGACAGGCTGACTCTCTAGGGAGCGAGTGCGGGAGACCCTGACTCTTGTCTGCGCTTTCTCTGAAGGGCTTCTCTTCCCTGTCGAGTCCGGGAAGCCCTGCAGATAGGAGGAAGAGTACTTGATGGACTTCATTCTGAGATGAGTCTTTTCCTTCAAGATGGAGAAATAGGGGATCTTTAGGAGCAGAAAGGGGAGAAGCCAGTAGGGGAGGGAGGAAGGAGACGGGGTAAAGAGACAGAATCCTGTAGTGACGCTCGGTTTTGTCAACCAGAGGATTTAGGATTCACCCAAAGCAAACACTCGTACCACTTCAAGAGCTTTAGAACCTCTGGCTCCGAGTGAAGCGGTTTTCTCTCTCCACCTCTATGGCACCGAGGAGTGCACCGGTCTGTGGCGGGCCGGTCAGATGGAGCCCAGCTCTCCGCCAGGACACAGCAACCTGCCTTCCGGGAAGCCAGGCTGGGCCCTGAGGGGGGAAGTTTCTGGTTTAGAACAGTGGGGAGAGTCTTTTTTCCTTCCTGAACTTGGACTGCTGTCTGCACAAACTCTGGTCTGTTTTGCACGGTGTGTGTGTGCCTTTTTTTCCCTTTATGCAATCTTTTTCAGCTTCAGCAACAGAAATTGGTCTAGTTGAGAGAACGTGCCAGAGGGTGGCTTTGGAAGGAAGATGATCCCATGTGTTCTGTCTCTGCATCTGAACTTTTGAAGAGAAAATTCCAGCTCGAGGGATTCTTTAAAGCCTTAAGTTACTTGAAATCTATGTATTTGCAACCCTTTGTCTCTGGAATCATATTACACTAAACTGGAATCTCAGGCTGAATGAGAATAACCAAGTTGAGTGAAAAGAAGAAAACCCCGTTTCTTGATCAGCAGTGGTAATGACGCTCTTCCTCTAAGGACTTGAAAATAAAAATGGACACGTGTTGTTTTTAAGCATTACCTTTTCCTAACAGACTGCCATCATCTTTTCTAGAGGAATTTTTTCACTATGCATTGGGGTGGATCTTTATAAAATATTGACCTTGTGATTAGATCCAGGTCAGTCTTCATTAAAAGGGGTCGGGGAAAGCAACGCAAGCCAACCACAAAATCACATCAGTCACTTGATCCATGAAAAGAATTAGTTTGAGTTTTTCGGCATTCAGCATTACTTTCTAAATAAAACGGTTCACTGAGAAAAAGTATGTATGCAGCAGTGGAACATGGGCCTGTCCTTTGCAGTGACTCCAACATCCTCTGCCTGTCCTGGAAGGGGCGTGTTCCCAAGAGTGAGAAGGAGAAGCCGGTGTGCCGGAGGCGCTACTATGAGGAGGGCTGGCTGGCCACGGGCAACGGCCGCGGCGTCGTCGGGGTGACCTTCACCTCGAGCCACTGCCGCCGGGACAGAAACACGCCGCAGAGAATAAACTTCAACCTGCGGGGCCACAACAGCGAGGTGAGCTGGGGCTCATTGTACTTTTTGTCTCATCGCCTGTGGTCTTGAGCCTGCTGCCCGTGGGCTCAGAGCTCGCTTTCTCGTTTTCTCCACCTGCTGCTGAGGGACACTATTCAAACTGTGGATTCTGTCTCCTGTGTCCCAGTGGGAATATGTTAAGGTGGACACGGTTCCCAGTAGCCTGTGTCCCTCCCCGAGCGTGTCTGTTCTCTTGGGCGCCCTCACTCTCCTCTCCTGGCAGCGGGCTACGCACCAGCACGCGCACGGGCACCAGGGCGGCTCTGCCCAGGCTGGGAGGTTCGGTTGGATGATCCTAACCAGTGTGTCGTGCTCTCGGCCTTTTTAGTCACCCTTTCTGCGTAACAGAGTTAACCGCCCCTGTGTGAGGCTGGTGCTGTCAACAGGGAAGGTGGTGTTGTCCTCTTCACCTCAACGGTTAACAGCCGCCTTGCTCTGGGTGACGGTTTAACACCTGCCGTGGAGGTGCAAGAACGAAGGAGTTAATTGGGCAGAGGTGACAGTAATCCACTGGACAAGAGCCATTGTTTTTCCTATCTGTTGGGTGTATGATACTGACATTATGCTCTGTCTGCATACTTAACATATTTAAGGATCTGTGCACTAACTCTAGTGAGAAAATATGACTAATTTGGGTGAAAGCCAATGAAAAATCATTGCAAATCTTTTTTCTCTTCCTTATGAATTCTTCACAAAAAGGTGAGTTGGTGGATTTGTGGTCACCCATTGTGGTATCCTAGTGATGGCTACAGGAGAGGCCTGGGCTATATTTCCGGGGGTGCAGTCCTCTTCTCCCATTTCTGTTCCTTTTTTCCCCATATGTTTGTTATAAGAAGTTCTAGCTCCACCATTTAACTAGCTGGTGTGGTCCTGCCCGAGTCATTCAAGTCATTAGATCACTCATGGTTGAACTGAAATAACAGTTCCTTTCTTTCAGAGTTGCTGTGAGGATCTGTGAGAATATGGTTTTGCAAGGGATTTGAAGATGGCGGGTGCTGGGTGTGTGGATGATGACATTGTGTGCCTCGTACGCCGATTCACTTAACTGTATTCTTACTGTCCAGCCCTTGCATGCTACTTAGTACCCTTCCATTTCCTTACTAGTCTGACTCGTGAGGCCAGAGACGGTGTTTTTTGATTTTTGTTTCACAGTTAAGATTTGAAAACCCATATGCAGTCAGTAGGTGTTCATTGCATCTCTGCCGAGTGCTGGGTGCTGTGTGGACCAGCCACCACGGGCCAAGATGAATTACGGATTGGGCCTGCTGGGAGTCCACCATCTGGCAGTAAAGGCAACGTGTGCACCTGGATATCTCTTTCTCTGTGTGTGTTTCAGTTAGGTATGGAACGAAAGATTTGGGTCATTGAAAGAACTAAGGCTGAAGTTTACACCGATTTTGTTATGAAGAGGACCTTTCTGCGGGGTCTTGAGAAATAGAATTTGGATAGGTTCCCCCCTACTCCCCCGAGTGATGCAAGAAGATTAAGCTACATTCTGGCCTCAGAGAAGCAGTTTCTCTCTTCTGTGTGACATAAAGGTGCTGGGTTTCCTTTGGCTCCAACCTAAGCACGTGTCTGTATTCACCTTACCACACCAGGTGTGCCCCCAGGAAGATGCATTTGGGGTCTGGCTGGACAAGGACAGGGCCTATATGTATATTTTGCCATCCCTGGGACAAATCCACCATAGTTGATAGGAGGTTGACATGCTTAGCTCTTCCCGCTGAACTATGAAATGTTTACTGTGTACAGGTATACCCTGGTTTGTAATGGGGATTTTACTCATATCAGGGCATTCTGTATGCCAGTTAATCCAGGGCAGAAGGTTTAAGCAAGGTGCTGCCTTAATAATCTATCTGATTTACACAGTGCTCAGATGTAGCTGTTTCTGGGCTTAATGTATCAGCATGAAGTTGCGGTCAAGTTTGAAAATTGACATGCTCGTCTTCAGGACCTGAGTTAAATATAATTTGTTAGTGACTCACTTTGGGTGGCTCTTCTGGTCAAGCAACGAGCTCTGTTTATTGGGGCGTATTTGAGTATGCTAGGTGACCATGTCTGTCTTGTCTCCTTCCCGGTAGGCCTTCTAAGTGCTCATCATACAGATGCATCGCATTCAGAGAGCATGAACCAGAGGCTGCTGTTCTTTGCTGTAGTCGACGGGGGAGGCTCTCTGTAGGGTCCCCCTGCTGGTGCAGTGGGGGCAGAAGCAGCTCACCGCTGCTAGGTGGAAGTGGGGGCTTTGTTGGTGTGCACAGGGGATTTGAAAGTTTAATTATATGCAGATAATTAAAGATACAAATTGCAAAACCACAGTCCTTCAGCCTTTCTTACAGTTTTTCAGGTAAACTTGTACATAATAACAATGAAACAAACAGTGGGAACTTACCTAATTTTATATGCTGGAAGGGAATTTAAAACTAAAGAGTACTACTAAGTTGATCCATTTTTATCTTCCAGCGTTAGTATTAAAGCTTTTCTGAGTGGGGAAAATGGGATAAGAGAATCTTCATAGTGAGGCTGGGAGGGTGGAGCAATATATGAATGAAGTAAATGTGTTTAAAAATTTTATTTTTGGGACGCCTGGGTGGCTCGGTGGGTTAGGCCTCTGCCTTCGGCTCAGGTCATGGTCTCAGGGTCCTGGGATGGAACCTCCTCATCGGGCTCTCTGCTCAGCGGGAAGCCTGCTTCCCCCACTCTCTCTGCCTGCTGCTCTGCCTACTTGTGATCTCTTTCTCTCACTGTCAAAAAATAAATAAATAAATAAATAAAATCTTTTTAAAATTTTATTTTTAAATTTCTCAATTGTAGCCATAGTAAATTTAATTTTCCTGGTGAGGGATATATCTTCTTTGTTATTTTTAACTTTTTTTTTTTTTAAAGATTTTAATTATTTCTTTGATGGAGGGGAGAGGGAGAGGGACAGAGAGAGCGTGTATGCATACGTGAGGGTGCACACAAGCGGGGGGCGTGGCAGAGGGAGAGGTGGGTTCCCCCCTGAGCCCCCGCTGGGGCTCCATCCCACAGGATCATGATCTGAGCCGAAGGCAGACCTTAACCAACTGAGCCAGGTGCCCCTGTCTTCTTTTTTAAAGTAGACTCGAAAGCCTGGGGGATGGGCTTGCTGGGGTATGGAGTGCTTCAGTCTGCAGGAGGAAGTCTTGGGGCCAGGAGTGGCTGGCAGTGCTTTCTGGGGACGGAGCTGGATCTCGGCCTTTGGTTGGCCGCTGCTGGGCTTTGGTTCCACAACCACCAAGGAGCAGTTTCTGCCCAGGTGACCTGTGCATGTGTCAGTGGATGGATGTGGTTTGCATGGAAATAAAGTTGGTGACAGTAACTGCTGGTGACAGTTGCCATGTGTTATGTGGCCACAACTTTCTATGTGTTTTATGTGTGTCATTTTGGTTAGCCCCCGTAACAGTTCTCTGCAGCTCGGTTTTATTCCGCTGCGCGGCTGAAGAAGCTGTAGTTCCGAGGCGTGCCGGGGTTGTCCGAGGCACAGAACTAGAGGATGATGGCAGACCTGGGATAAAATTCATGTCTGACTGTGTTTCCTTCTGTGAGATGCTGCTTCGGCCAAGGGGAACCACAGTGATTAGAGGAACAGAGTCAGGAGTGACTGTGTTTCGGACGGTGAAGTTTGGTGTGAAGGGTTGCAGCTGTGTGGGCTGCGAGGTCTGGGCCCCGAGTAGTCAGGATGAAAACGTAGTGATGAACGTTCGCGGGACGGAAGGGGCGCTGCTTTTGGTTCGGGTTGCGTTCTAAGACCATTAGAAGACTGTTGTATTCGGAGAGAAGTGCTGAAAAATTCAAGCGTCCATTTAAAAATGAGCATTCAGTTGAGTGCATTGATCCACCAATGTGGAAAGCTGAATTGATAGCATTGATTTCATTTATTGTGGAATTTATTTGATTATTTTAATATTTATTATGTTCTTTAACTTATCATATTTATATATTTATAATTTTAAGATAGTTTATTATAAAAATAAGAGTCTTCAAGAAGTAATGTCGAAACCTGTCACTGTGATACTATGATAGTGTATGTATGGATGGCTTTAGGAAGACTCTTGAGTCAGAGTATAACCAGGTATTAGAGATGGAAGGCGTATGTGAGAAACAGCTCTTTTAAATGTGTCTTACGAATTGTTATTTTGAACAGGGAACTGTTCTAGCAAAGAGGCAGAAATAAGACTTTTCTGTATATTGAGATCAGAGTTTTGTTTCACCTCACCTGGCTTACCTGTTTTTATGCCAGAGCTCAGGAGTGTGAGTTCGTCTTTATCACAAGAACACGTACATGCGGGTAAATGCTAATAATGACCAGTAGCGGTGTTCTCACTTCTGTTGCCTGCCCCCGCCTCCTGTTGAGGCTGTTCACCGAAGGCTTCTTTATTACCTGTTTGATTAATCAGTTTTGGGATTTGGGATGTTGGCTTCTTGCCTATCTTGGCAGGGGATCCAGCTCTCCCTTCCTTAGTCACTCAGCCCAGCCTTGCCCTGCAAGCCAGTCATCCTGGTATTGCTCTTTCGTAATTGGGTAACTCATTATTCAGTGTTTATGTTATTTAAACCGTGTCCGTATAGTGCCCAGGCGAGTCAAGTAGGATACTATGATTATATTTCCTTTACTGTTGAGGAATTTTTTCCTTTGCGAGGAAAGTAGTCTTATTTTGCAGGATGCCTGGGTGGCTCAGTTGGTTAAGTGGCTGCTGTTGGCTCAGGTGATGATCCCTGGGTCCTGGGATCGAGTCCCACATCGGGCTCCTTACTTGGTGGGGAGCCTGCTTCTCCCTCTGCTTGCTGCTCCCTGTGCTTGTGCTCACGCGCTTGCTTGCTCTCTCTGACAAATAAATAAATAAAATCTTAAAAAAAAAAAAAAGGTCTTATTTTTCCTAGTGGTTTGGTTTCTTTATCTGTTGCAGATCTTCCAGCATTTTCAGTATTTTTCTACATGTTCAGACCAGTAAGATGATTATTTG